GGTCCATTGCCATTAATAAAATACTAAATATGGTTAAAGTGTTACATTAATGGACCCAATGGACCGCACATTTGCCAACCCTGTATTAAGCATATTATTTCCAGTAATAATCAAATAAATGCTCTTTTTTATCATCATTTTTGTTTTCTTGTTTTCCAAAATTTAACCTTTATATTAATGTATCTTCTTCCTATTACAGGACGAAGTAGAATATAATGATAATAATAATAATAGTGGTATAATGGTGATGATAATGTAAGTTTAAAGAATTTCTCTGTTTAGTAATTTGTTTATTTCATTTAAGAAATCAACCTTTTAACCTTTATATTATTTATCTTTTTCCTATTACGGATTGTTGTTGATAATGATGATGATGTTGAAAATGTAAAGTTTAATGACTTCACTGTTTAGTATTGTTATTTTATTTCAGAAATTTACTTTTATATTATTATATCTTTTTTCTATTACAGGACATTGATGATGATAATAATAATGATGAAATTGTGATTGGTGACTAAATTAATTGGCATCAATTAGTTGTTTATAATCCTTTTTTTTTATTTTTATTAATAGTGTTTTTTATTGTTATTAAAAATTAGGTCCTAATAAAAAAAGAAAACATTTAGAAAGGGTTGAAGAAACTAGATATAATCTTCGCTCCAGAGGTCCCAGGAAAAATTACAAAGATGGACCTTCAAATGTTCACCAAAAAGGAAAAGGCGTCATTATGTAAGTATAAACTGAAGTGTTAATAATAGATATAATATTTTATTTAATTCTTTTTTACTTGTATCTATAGGAATCACCACAACCAGCATATCATGCATCATCACCAGATGCATTACCATCACCAGATGAGGTATGTTATATATATTTAATATTAAAATACAATTAATAACACGCAAATCACGTGATTAATAAAAAAAGGTTCTACTTTTATTCTTACCAGTTGCATTAGAATTAGAATTGTTTGTCAAATAAATAAAAAACATCAGTTTATTAACAAGTGGAAAACATATATAATAACGAAATACCAACTATTTTGTTAAATCTCTCTGGCACCTGTTGGATCTTTTAGATATTGAGTGTATGTTGAAGAAGTGTTGCCCAGTTAGAGTTGTGGCACTTTGACTGTCGAAATATATTTGCCAAGGTCACTTGATTTGCAATTAAAATAATGCTGAAACATGCCTAAATATCTGTCAAATGTCCAAATATCGATCAATTTAAAAATTGACAAAATGTATTAATATGATTGGGGTACGTATTACTTTACCGACAACATACGGTGCATCATTTATCATTTTATTAGTTGTTTGATTATGTGGAGGTTAAAATGTACCCCCGGGTTGTCGGTAAACTGAATGCCTCCCATATGATTTACTATTTGCAAGAGTTGTATAAATCTTAATGATTGGGAAATTGATTAGAATGGGCAATTCTCAACCAATTTTTAATAATTGATTAATTGTATATATTGATTGCATTCTTTTCTTGGATAATTTTTTATCATGCTAAATT